CATACCATATTTCTGGTATTTTTACCCCCCAGCTATACCTTCTCTAGTTTTTCCAACATCTGTTTTATTGTGACCATTATCTTGACTTATGTAATTTATGTATATTTGTGTAGGTATTTACACACACACAGAAGTAAAAATGCATACATGCGTGGATATGTTAATAGAGTAATTTAAAGGCATTTGACTTGCACATTTATTTTTTCAGTCAACTAAAAATAATTTGTTGAATTCTTGCATAAACTGAGTGCATATGTATACAAACATTAAATGGCCTCACCTATTTGTGACATATTGTTTTTCCTCTGAAGACATTTATAAGTGATATGTTTCAACTTCAGTATGAACAGTTATGAAGATCAAATGCTTCCAAGATACTACATAATGAGTCGAAAATATCAAGAAACTTGCACTGTTCTTTGTCTATTTGTTCTTTAACATGAAATTTGGGCAAACAAACTCAACAAGAGAATTTTAGTAGTTAGTTTGACAGGAAGTGTCTTCATAACTTATGTGGAGGTGCTCAGTGCAGAGTAATAATGTCATGGGTCATTTCACAATCTGTTTCCATCTCCTATAAAAATATAAGTTCTGAATTTTTTTGAAAATTATACTTTCTGTTGTCATTTAATGGCTAAAAAAGTTACAAAATTTGATGCTATGAATTATTTAAATGATAAATTATTAAAAAGACAAAATTATAAAAATATTCTTAACCAATTCTCCTTTGAATTTATGAATACCACTTAATAAATGTTTATACATAATTTCATTACATTTCATAGTTTAGCCATTCAGTGTGAGTAGGGCATGATTTATCAGCATTTCAAACTTTTATTAATATAAACTGATATCCACATAAGAAAACAATAAAAACATTTCCATCAGTGCTCAGCAGTCTTTATTATTCATGCTAATGAACACAAAGTTTAAAAATGCAATAGACAAATCCAGAGGTTAGGCAGATATTCATAGTTTGTATGAGTGACATACATAGCTTACATTACTCATATTATGGCATGAACAAATGTAAGATTGTCTCCAAATACATTAAAACCCCCTTAAAATTCAAAATATGAGATAAAGTGATAAAACACATTACAAGTGGTGTCTTTGTGGTTTTTTTAAAGACAGAGGGCCATATTTTTTTCAGTGATATGGTTTTAAAAAAATTCTTTATTTAATTGAAAGATTTTTCAGATAAAACTAATGAAAAGCACTCTGTATGACACATAACTTATATTACATAATATGAAATATATTTGTTTATGTACAGGTATAAACATATAAATACATATGTATTCTTATCTATGTACTCATATAAAATACAGACCAAAAGTGTATGCACCTGGTCACTGCATGTGTTGAGTATTTGACTCAAATACAGATACAAACCTTTCATGCTGCTTCTATGCTAGTTCCTCAAGACCAGTGGGGCCAAATTTGTAGGATGTGCTACCTGCTGTAGGTGCTTTCCTGGACGGAGCTTCCTGCATCTTTGGCAAGATCCACCTGTTAGCAATTATGATGCTTGTTACGGTTTAATTAAGAAAAAAAAAATTCCAGTTTGCTTGAATTGCTTTGCCATTTCACTTGCAGCTCTAACTAAAACTTATCAAATCCACCAGTTTTGCTTTTGTTAACTTGGCATATTTCTCTCCTGCTCCTGCAAAGGCTGCAGATGTTGAACCCATTTATGTGGTGAAGATGTGAGCTTTCTGGGGATTTGTGATTATTCTTTTCCCTGATAGCTTCAAATGAGAGCCACTGTGTGACTCTCTTGGTTTCACCATTGATGTGTTTCTTCAGGGTAATGTGGTATATGAGTTACTCACACAAACTTTGGGAAATGAAGATCATGAAAAGGCAAAAGGGCAACAAATGCTTCCCCTCATCCCACTCATCAAATGGGCAAAAAAAGTAGAAGCAACTTCTGGAGGATGTGATTTCTGAAGAAGGTCTGGTTACCTTAATTCCTCATTAGTGTGTCCTTTCAGGTTTTACTGGGTTTCAGGATTGGATTCCCACTTTTTTCCAAAGCACTCCTCTAGGGTGGCTACATAAGACGCAAAGTTTTATAGCAACAGTGATGTTGAAGATATCTACTAATGGGTATTATATAGCTATTGCTGTGTCTGGCTACTTGCCACATTGTACTTTAAAATTCCCACAACCAGGACATCCTTGGATTGTCACAATGATTTCACAAAGGTTTAGGATACTGATCACTAAGGTAAAACTGTAATTCCTGAAGGTTTTACTTTTCATTATGGTAGATTTTTCTTATGAATAGTAAGAAAAGGGGAGAGGCGCATGGTGCCTTTTCAGTGCCTGCACAGCTAAATGACAGCTGCAGTTATGGCCTAACTGTAGAAGGCTGTAGGATCTTAAAAAAAAAGTGCAAAAAATGCTTCCTCATAATGAGTGGTTGGTGAAGACCTTGGACCACAGCACAAGGTAAAGGGAAAGGAAGTGAAGAGGCCATTGGAGATACTAAGTAGAACATTTACTTACAAGGGATCTCATCTCCACAGGTGCTTCTGCTCCAGGCACAGGGAACCTGAAAGTATGTGCTAAAGGTCCTGGGACCATGAAAAAAGACAAATCTATGTGGATGCAACAGGCCACCAAGTAAACAGAATGATAAAATAAGTAAATAATAAGTAAACAGAATTAACTATTTGCAACAAAACAGCAGTAGCACCGAACACATTTTGGGATGTACAGATACCACAAGCAAATAAAGTCATATATTTGACCAGTTACAGCATATCTAGTGCAATAGTTTCCCACTTCTTCAAGAAAGGTTAATTAAAATATAGACAAAATTATACACTGTCAGCATACAAAGGGATGATGGTTTTCATGTGGCATATTCCAGCACTGAGTGCATAAACTTCTAAATTAACAAACTAAAAGCTTCTTGCCTGTTATTTGTGATTTCTCAAACACAAGAGAATTTGTGACTATATAAGGGTGTGTAGAGAACAGATTGCGACTGACATTCTGAGCAAAAACAAGCAAAGCAAAGATAGGCATGATTGTTCCAATAAACATCAGACAGTTTTGCAACGCATGTGCAAGTCTGAACACTCTCCAATTTTCAAACAGCTTTATAAAACCATCCCACCCAAAAGCTTTGATATTTAGATTAGGATTGCTTACTTCTTTTGACATCACTGTCACTGTTTAACAATTAAATGGGACCCCCTAGGAGAAAAAAGGTCAGACGCCTTTTTGTAAAGAATCAAAATTACAAATATTTTATTGGTAATTAAGAATGTTTACACTGCTTGATCTACAGAAGTTGATATTTTAAGTGATCACAGAAAATGAAATACAAAATTATTTTACACACCTATACAGAACAATTTTTTAAAGTCCTTTGAACATTATTTCAGTACATACAACATTCTCTTGCTAAGCCAGCTGTGTCTTGATTAAGAGCTGTTTGGGACAGTGAAATGTCACAGCTCACAGCAGATGCTCCACAACCATCAACTACTGCATTTGATTCTCTGAGGTGTAGTACCAGCGTTTCAGTTCAGTTTAGGCAGAATTCAGAGCAGGTGGGGAACTAAAATCTAACTGCTATCTGAAGGCCAAAACACAGAGTTGAGATGTAGTTTCTTACAAGTTGTTTTTTCTACCATGAGCCATTCTGTGTGAACTCTTCAGACCACTGGGACAGATGATTCTTGCTCTGTGACACCGCTCTGGGCAAGCACATCTAACTCCTATAAAGACACCTGTGTCTCTGCAATTGTTCTGCTACCTGTGACCCCATCTGAGGATTAGAAAGCATTGGACTGGATGTCTTACCCCACAAGCTGATTTCACCCTCTTTTTCTATGTTTTCTAATCTACTCCTTAAAAAAAAATAGCATTTAGCTTTTTCTCTTTTTTCATTCGAAGTAGCAAATATCAGATAGGTTCTTTAAAGAGCTATGTTGGGCCCTAATTCTGCTCAAACTGAATTGAATGGTTAAATGTTTATTGATTTCAGTGAATGGGTGAACAAACCTGTACTGAGGATTTCAGAAAACACCTGTGTGGAGTATTAAGAGATTTAATCTCAGAACTGTATAAGAACAGAAGTTTTGAAAATGTTTATTACAGGAAATGAAAGCTTCAATAAAAATACTGCTTTGAATAATACTGAAAAAATGATAAAGAGTGCACTAATATTTATATATGAACCCAAAAAGGGGACAATATATATGGTCTTTATTTGCAAAATCTAAATATCTGACTTAGCAGGACTTAACAAATAATTAGTCCAGGAAAAAATGAATAGTATGTTACACAGTTGCCAATAAAACAGCTATATTTTAAATAAAAATAACATTAATATACATGTACAATATTGTAATGATATAACTTGATGAAAATAACACTGACCAGTATCAAATCTAAGATTTCACTTATTATCCATCCTTAACAAATGAAACGCATTTCACAGAAATAGATGCAGTTAGGGTGACGTGAAGTGATATTCATGGCTTACTGTGAGAAAGTTACCACGAAAATTAAGGTAAAAATGTAAAGAAGGAAACCTAAAATAGATTTACACGTATAAAAGTTCAGCCTTATAGCAGCTGAGTGGATGTGCTGCAGCAAGATGGTAACAGCAACCTTATGGTACACACCACACACGCTTGCACACACACTCACACACAAACACACACGTGCCCATGCCCAATGCATGTGCAGGGGTCCTCCTCAGCTTGATTATACAAGCACCCACTTACCAGCTTTTGCTGGGGGCAACACCAGGAATGGGACTCACCACCCCGTTTTTAGCTGTCTGCAAGGCAGCTGTAGCTTCCTAAAGTCAGAAAGCCATCTAAGGTAACATCAGCTGAACATTTTAATGGAAGCTGTTTTCATCCTGAGCACCTTTAAGGCACTTTAATAAAAAATATGAAGTTAATCAAGACTGGAAAAAAAGATAAAAATCCTTACAGGTGAGATCTGGAAATTTAAAATTAAAAAATTCCTGAGTTTTGATAAATAATTTTATTATAATAAAATACCAAGCCTATTGAAAACATGTCTTTTATAAAAGCATGTTATATGACAATTTTTCTTGATAAACTCACGCCTTAGTGCACGAAATATGTTAATAAGTCTTTGGGGACATCTGCAACAAATTAATAGGAAATGCAAAGTCAAAGAATGACCTGTCATGTACATACAAAACATGCATTGCTCCTGGCAACACACATCATGTTTACTACAGGCATCTTTTTCTGTTCTTGCAGGGTCCTGCCCATATCTTAATACTTTACAATTAATTACATTTCACTACTATTTACAGACGCAGAAACTAATCACACATCTTCTTAGGCCCATAAATATGGAACTACAGAAGTAGAATATATTTTAAAACAGTATGAAGATAAGTATGCTACATAGTACTCTTCTCTAGAAGTACAGTTCATTAATTATTTTCTTTATGAAGATTTAAATAGAAATTAAGATAGAAGTTCAAATTCTCTCTTTTTACCTTGGTTATTTTTTTTTCACCAACTATTTCTAAAAAATTTGCCCCAAGACAGTATTTGGATTGCAAAAACAGTTTTAAATTGTCATAAAAGTATCTCCAGTAGAGAACCATCATGCTCTGGAATGCCCATTTTTTACACAGGATACCATTCGTTTGTTTTCAAATAAAAATAGCTGAAATAATACCTGTTGTCTGTATGTTTCTACTAGAGTTAATTTTTTGCTTCTGGTGTGTTTTTCTCTCCTTTGCTTTCAGTAGACACAAAAACTCATACCCAAAGTGCTGGCAAATGCACTGAGACACACAGTGGCTACAGAAAGGAATTTATAGAGCCCTTGGGAGGTTCCTTTTGACAATAATAGGTAAAAATAATCATCAAAGTAAAATGCACTTTTGGCTTTATTGCAACCTTTAATATTTTCAGTAGCTACCTCTATAATATACCTGATAAAAATCCTACTTTTTAACATTTAGCTTCTATTACAAAGTATTTCATGTTTTGTTTTAAAAAACTCACAATAGTGATGGTGGTTAATTTGCTTTATAGAAGACAATACATTGAGTTATATATAATAATGGCTTTGATCCAATTAACTTGATATTATGCTGCTTAATAATTACTGTGACTTCAGTTCCTACAGTGTTACAGAGAATACAAACTTAATGTACAGGAAGTGGGGATCATTTGGAAGTGCTGATTCAGAAGTATTCAAGTGCTAACAATGACTTGTTCTTTCTATGCTTCTCTTCGTGTGCCGTAAATGATGATTTCACAAACGTCCGTGCTTTTCAATGTGACACAGTTTTAGGGCAATTTTTTTTAATGTTCTTTTTTTTGTGCAAATTCAAAACTAGATTTTTCTGGATGTTGCCGTCTTGTTAAAAGTAATTGCCACTTTTACTTAAAAAGGCACTAGCATTAATGTAAGAGAATATACCTTTTATGCTTGTTTTATGAAGAGCTGTACTTGTTACTGGAGCGGAAATTATCATATCCGTGATCATTAGCTTTGAACTTTAAACAGGACTGCCTTTCCTCCAGGGACAACAGATCTTTGGATTGGCACCAGCAACACAAGCATGACTGTTAAAATAAAAGAAATAAACGTTTTACATCACTCTGTTTTTGCACACGTGGCAAAATGCACTGAAAAGCTGCCCTTTCTCAGGGGCAGAGTAGGAAATGGCAAATGTGCAAGCTGCTGCTCTGGGATTAGAGCACAAAGCACAGAAATGGGGTTCAGCTCTGAGCTGCTCAAATGGCTTCATCAGCAACCTTACTGCTGGAGTACAGGAAGAGTTATACTGAGTAGTTATATACAGTAACAAACACACACACACACACACCCCTTCAAATCTGGTCTGCAATTCTAAATGCACCTGAAAATAAAATTATGACTCCTTGTCCTTTCTCTGATAATCTTACTTGGGGAAAAAAAAAAAAAAAGTATTCTTATCTATGCTTTCTAAGCAAGGTGCTGCTTTTTAGCTCATTGTTCTGAGGTGGAAAAAAGAGAAGTTAGAAGAAGGGTGAAAACCTACATACAATTCATACATTTACTAGATGTACTGCAGACCTTTTTCCATGGTCCTGTCTGGCCTTTGGGTGCTGGAAGTGCCTTCCTCACACCCACTTACTTCCATGCTCAGGATGCCGGAGATCTTTTACATGCTTTCAGCTCCAGTGACTCTTTCAGGCAGCCAGCAGCATAGACAGGGAAAACAAGACCAACACTAAAACCTCTGCAACCTGTGCTGTCACAATTATGTGGGAAACATACATTAACATTACCAGATATAGAACTGACTAGCTACTGACTGAAAGATGTTTCCATCTTGCTAGTAAGGAATTTAAACAGCCAGGCAATAACCCTAGTGGTGGCCAATGGTTAAATGCTTGGGGAGAAAAGAAAAATCTAACAACTTGCCATAGGCAATGTAAGGACTCCAATACAGTGTATAAAGATAGTAAGGGTTCACAAAAAAAGCCCAACTCTTCATATCTTCCAAGCAGACATGAAGGCTGAAGGACTGATGGGCTGCCAGCCACATGCATTCCAGAGCCTGAAATCCTGTGTGGAGAATTAGTGTCCAGCTCTATTCTCTCAGACCAAGCCAGGACTACAAACAGGTCTGTCTCATAAAATGCTGGCACTGCAAAGGGACAAGTACAGATTTGCACCTTCTGCCTCATATGGCTGATTGAAGTGCTCAGTCAGGATGAGGGAGCCCAGGGTCAGCACCCTCCCTGTCAGGATGCAGAGGATTTGGCTACGTGAATCTCTGCAGCACAGACTGAGTCTGCTTCGTCAGTGCTCTGGAAGTAGCTGGGTGCCAGCTTCAGTCAGGAAGTGATGTAGCGCTGATTAGCATGGTCCCCAGAGGGTTCATTGTACACTCTGCTCTTTTGCTTTCTCTTTTTGTTACCACCAAACCTTAGTTTCTTCCTACGGAGCTTCAGCAGGAGAGGGAGGAAACATTTACCATAACCCAATTAAAATTTAAAGTAAGATTTAATGACTGTTTAAAACACTTTGTGCATGTTAAGGAATGAATTTTACTACTGACATAATCTTTTAACCAGAGGAGCAACTCTCAGCAGCCACTTACCTTAAAGCAGTTTTGGAATCTTTTGCTCACCAAATACAGAGCTATTGGATTGATGCAGGAGTTCAGTGAAGCCATGTTAATACCGATATAGTCCATCACAAGAAAAAAGCTGTGTGGAAATTAAAGTGAGACACTTCTCATTTGCTTTGAAAAGGCTTAATAGAGGTTTACAACTATGGAAATTGGACTCGGTTTCACAAATCAAGACTAGCTATTAAATGTAATTTTAATGGGGCTTAAATCAACAGGATTAACTCATGCAGGTAACAGTTATACTCAACAATAAAGTCTGAATGGTCTGAAAACCATTCTCACGAAAGTAGTTTTAGGAGATCAACCATCTTAACTTTTGGAAGATGTTCACGAGGTCTTTTTGCACAAATTGAATCCTAGCTGCTCTGTTGAAAGGAAAACGGGGACAGAAATCCCCTTCTATTCTCATAGCACCACATGACAGAAGAACAGTCCCAAAAAGGTCAGGAGAAAGATGGGGAAAAGCAAAGGAATTCCTCACAATTTTCTTTCTCTGCTAGTGGAGAGATGAAGAAGCAGGGACAACTCTAGACATACAAAGTAAGCTTGTTCAATAGGAAATCCAAACATTCTTATGGAGAATGCCCACAATATACAGACATTTATTTTGCATTCTCACCTTAGCAGTTCACATCTGTTGGGGTCCTTCTGATCATAAATAGTGAGTTTCAAGATTCTGCTTAAGTGAAGTGGGAGCCAACACAAGGCAAAAACAAGTACCAGACAGAACACAGTTTTGGCCACCTCACGTCTCTGAGAAAGAAAATTGTACAAAACATTGTTACAGTTCCTCTCTCTCCCTCTGGATTGTTGTTGTCTTCTAATATCCAAAAGTTTAACAAATAAGATAAAAAAGCCTATCACAATAGGAGTTAGGAAAACATCAAATAGCTTATTTTCTTGGAATTATGTGCTTGATCTTTTCTATTGTTCTAGATGTCTCGCACTGATTTGATATATCTCTTCTTTCAAGAAGTATGAGTAATAATATGAAAAATAGAGATCATGAAAACACTAGTTTAAGCAATAATTTAAATTAAAATTAAGAACATATTTGTCTCCCAGATCACTTTCAAATACCAGCTTGTTTTCTATTGCATTTCCTTATGCTTTGATCTCACATCTTATTTTAATTGCCCCAAGAGATTCCAATTACAGCTCTAACCAGGTAAGAGGAAAGGAGCACAAATACACATTATAGAACAATCATAGTTTAACTCTAGTGAAGTCTGATGTTTGTGTCTGGGGCACTAGTGCCTCAGAATGTCTGCTGGAATATGTTGTCCTAACATATACTGCTAACCTCACTAGGGTTCAGCAAGAATTTTCTTCAAAATAATTAACAGTTTTATAGCACCACCTTCTAGACTAGAGCATGACTTCAGTTGGCATTACAAAATAGCCAACTCTCATTATAGCAAAGAAGAAATAAAACCTATAAAAACTGAAACGTTAAAACCAAACAAGAATGAAACAATTTTTTTATTTTCAGTTGAAATCTTAGGTTCCTGAGGGTTATGATATATACATATGTATATGAATTCAGCAGCACCACTGCTGGGAAAGTTCTCTTTGCTTCTAACGCTTCTAAGTCATACAGAATGATGTGGCAGGAAAATCAATAAAGTTATTAGTTAGCCCATCTACAGTTACAGAGTAGCCAGGGATAAATTTTTACCTGTTTTAAGTGGTCATTTAAAGCAATTTGCATCCCGCTTTTCTTTCGTAACATCTCACAAGTCATGAGAGTATAGAAAAATGCTGTGATAGCCAGTGGCAAACAGAAGTAAAAACTGAACAGCCACCAGTCTTTAGCTTGCTTGTAAAACTGTAAAGAAAAAGCAAAGCAAAAACATGGTTAGGAATTAAATGCTGAGCATTTTGCTAAGTGTGCTGTAACCAATTGGTCAGCTTGTTCTGAAAAGCATTTCCATCAGGTGTACATTACAGGTGAGAAAACAGGACAAGACAGGACAAGAAGTATGTTCAAAACCCACAAAAAGTCAAAAATTTCTGAATGGTCTTCTTTGAACCAGTATGCTTCAGAAATGTCAGATTTCATTTGAACATTATATTCATGTCACATACACCTGTGCACATTACAATGCACACAACACTGTGAAGATCCAAGGAACTCTCCCAGAGATTTTATCAATGTTAGTGACTTACCATCATAAAGGATGTTTTCTGCGTGGGGTGAAGCAAGCAGATTCTAAGATACCTTCCTCTGTACTCCATTGTAATCATGTCAAATGCAATAGCTTCTGGAACAGCCAGTATCACTGATATGACCCAGATGAGGACAATTTCCACAGCAGTCCACTTTGGCACTCCAATTCCTTTAATGCGACTCCAGGAAGCGACTGCTCGGTACCTGAAGCGACAGCACACATTTACAAATTCAAAATATGACAAAACTCACCCAGTTTAAGTGGGTTAAAGTCATCTTATTTGCATTGTATCAGCTGAGTGGAAAGGTGAATTTGAGCCAATACTTGTATAGGAAACAAATTAGAGACTCCAATGACAAATGGGTCTCACCTGTCTATACTGAGGGCGCACAAACTCAGCACTGTGATGCCCACCGACGCCTTTTGAATGAAGGGCACTAATTTGCACATTTCAACACCAAAGGGCCAGTCCTCTGCAAGTAGCTGTGAAAAGAAAACAACAATTATTTTTTAAAAAAGTCATTCCCAGTGCTGAAACATGGAGTTCTGTCTCGACTGTTTTCCTTTTCCACCAGGTCTTGTCCTGTGAAGATAGGCTGAATGGGGCTTGTTCAGACTGGAGAAGAGAAGGTGCTGGGGTGACCTTGTAGCAACTTTTCAGTGCCTAAAGGGGGCCTGAAAGAAGGCTGGAGTGGGACTTTTTACAAGGGCATTTAGTCATAGAACAAAGGGGGACTGGCTTTAAACTGAGATATTGTGAATGCCCGACCTCTGGAAGTGTTCCAGGCCAGGTTGGAGAGGGCATTGAGCCACCTGGTCCACTGAAAGGTGTCCCTGCCCATGCCATGCCATGGGGGTTGGAACTAGACAACCTCTAACGTTCAAGTTAAACCATTTTAGGATTCTATGCAAAACTTAGTCAAGAAGAACCTTTTCACAAGGGAGCCCTTGAGGTGTATGTCCTAAAAACTAGACAGTAGCAGTGTAGTCACTCCCTGGTGGGACGAGGGTATCACTTAAGTCTTAGTCCTGCCTCTTTAAGCCCTGCAAACTCCACTCCTTTTGCTTCTAACTTCATCACCCCAGTGTTTATGGGAAAAAAATACAGAGCTGGTGAGGATATTCCTCATCTTTGAATTGTCTTTATCTGCCTTGAGTGTTCACTGCTTTACTTACACATTCCAAATAACACATTTCTTGATCAGAAATACAGAAAATTACTTGAGGCTGATCAGAACAGGGACAAAGCCATAAGTGCATATCTGGGCTGGGGTTTATTTGAAGCTTAGTGTCTAGACTCCATCAGCTGAGAAGTCAGGCAACGCAGGAGGGAAATGTACCTCCCCCACTTTTTAGCTGGCCATCTGATGACAAATGAAAGGACACTCAAGGAGCACAGACAGAAAGTTTGATCTAAATGTTTTGCAGCAGGTAAAAATGTCAGATGAATCTCTCACTAATGGTCTTTATTGACCAGTTCATTCACCAACATTTTGTATAATTATATCAAAAGGACTATCTGCACATTCAGCATACCTCTAAGTACTAAGAAACAGAGAAAACAGCACAAGGCATTTAGGATGGCTCACTTACACTTTGAATCACACACTTTAATGGAAATCTTGTCACATTCCCAGCTGCACATTTTATCTGATTTAGGGGAAAAGATTTACTGGACACAGAAAGCACCTTACTCACACAGCTGATTCTATGAACAGCCAAACATCTGTAGCCTCAGTTTAGCAACATTTAGCCTTTGAACTCTGCTGTGAGCTTCTTTGATGGTCAAATACACCAGAGCAGCAGCCAAATCTTCCAGTTTTCATTAAAACAACATTCTCCACAACAAGGGTTTTGCCAAGAAATAGACGCAATTGTTATATAGAAGAGTAAACTTTTGGAGTTTCTGTAATTAGTTTGATTATCTAAGCCCATCTCTGTTTTTCATAACTTTCTTCAAATGAGGTCTTTGGAATCTGTTGCAGATACAGGGCTACAAAATGGAAAAGGAGAAGGAAGAATGAGGACTACCCAAAAGAGCCTGGAAAATCTTTCCCTTGGCTTCAAACAAGGGTCTCTTCAAACAACTAATTTAAGAGGGTTGTAAGAACGGAAGAGTATCTCATCATACTGCGTGGATGTTTCTGGGAACCAGAGAGGCTATGAAGTCTCTAAGGAGGGTTCTGGAAAGGCTGGATTGATGGGCCAAGACCAAGTGTATGAGGTTCAACAAGACTTGGGTCACAACATCCCCATGCAGTGCTACAGGCAGGAAGAGTGGTGAGGAAGTGGCTGGAAAGATCTGTCAGAAAAGGACCTGGGAGTGCTAGCAACACCTGGCCGAACATAAGCCATCAGTGTTCTCAGGTGGCCAAGAAGGCCAATGGCATCCTGGCCTGTATCAGAAGGACCACAGCAGTGCTTGTCCTGATATTTGGCACTGGTGAGGCCAGACCCCAAGTGCTGTGTCCAATTCTGGGCTCCTCACTACAAGAAAGACATTGAGGTTGGGGTGCTGGAGTCTGTTCAGAGAAGGATAAGAAAGCTGGTGAAGGGTCTGGAGAATAAGTTGCAAGATGAGCAGCTGAGGGAGCTGGGATTAGTCTGGAGAAGAGGAGACCTTGTTGTTCTCTATCACTGCCTGAAAGGAGGCTGTAATAAAGTGGGGTTTGGCCTCTTCTCCAAGTAAGAAACCACAGGACAAGAGGAAATGGCCTCAAGTTGCACCAGGGAAGGTTTAGACTGGATATTAGGAAAAACTTCACTGAAAGGGCTGTCAGGCATTTGAACAGGCTGCTCAGGGAAGAGTGCAAAAAAAGATGTACATGTGGCTCTTGGGGACATGGTTTAGGGATGAACAAAGTGGTGGCAAGGCTGATAGTTAGGCTTGATGATCTTAAGAAATCTTTGCCAACCTTAACTATTCCATGATTCTATAATGGAAGGTAGCCACAGAGTTGCCTGCTTACTTTGGTTTGGTTCAGCAAGGTCTTTATGCAAACATACATTCCATCTAAGGGTAAACACAAGGTCCATGAGAGTTTTTTAAAGAGTCCTGATATAAGTTAAATATAATTTTATTTGAGCACGAAGGAAGTTAAGAACATTTCATGACCATGGGCTTTTGGAAATCTCTATGAAGTGCCCACCAGTATTTTCAGATACCAGAATATCTCCAAATACCTGCTTTAGCTCTGTGCTGTAATGGAATCTTTTAAAGAACAGCAGCAGACAAACTGAAACATGGCCCAGCTTTCTATTTCTTCAATGATCTACTTAAGTAAGACCATAAATACAATACCTCTGCAGAAATGAAGTAGAGAAATAAATTCTAAGGATTTATGTTTCTTGAGAATTTTATGGAAAGTAATGAAGCAGAGGAAGTAGGGATGAGGTTGTAATAACCACACAGTATCTTTTGCTTATGTGATGTGGGAAAATAACACAGTCTGTAATTAAAGTATTTTCAGTAAAGCCTCTCCCTGAAACGACTTCTGAATTTCTGTAAGGGGGTGACAGTAACAATTCACTATTAAAACTGTAATGTGAATAATTACATGTATTCTAAATTTATACCCTACAGAATTGAATTACAATTGGACTGATTTATATCAATCAGGTAGTGAACCTCCAGCCTTTCACATCTATTTGCCACAGAGATCAAGGACTGGGTAGCAAGTACATTGTATACCTATGGTACCTACTGTACATTGTACATGAGTGTATACTAGGCTAGAGAGAACTCATTAAAAAAGCATTTTGAAGTAAAATATTATTTTCTTTGTAACAGAAATGCAGAAATTTGGTCAAATTTCTATTGGCAGGATCTGTCGAAAACTTTTATTTACATCTAGCCGGTGTGTAGACATTCCCTGTCTCTCTTCCCTAAAATCACAGCAGCTCAGCCACATGTTGTAGATTTTGCTGAACTAATACTTATCGCTCAGGTGCAAACAGTCACACCTGTGCTCCAAACTGACTGGATTTCAGCCAGCTCCAGTTTGGGATTATAGAGGCGTGGCACATAACTGAATGCAGTCTGCTGAGAGAAAGGGTGCATTAGCTTCGGTTTATCATAACATGAAAACATTACTTTCATTCAGCCAGCTTATATCAGGGCAGAATGGACATGCAGCTGTCTGCACTGGATTGCAAAAACATGTGCTTTATGTCTTGCAGCTGATGTATTGTGAAATTTGAGCATTTTAATGCATGAGTCACAAGTTTCTCTATCATGGTATTGCAAGTGGTTAATGATACAAGCTTTACACCAAAAGGCTGAAAACATTAAGAAAGTAAAAGGAAAAAAAAAAAGTTTTGATTGCTGAACTATGTCTCCTTGATGCTTCTGTTTGTTCTCTGTATTGCTATCCCCTTCAAATATGGCCTTGAAGTACAGTGAAGATCCAATATAAAGTATTTGGGAACATCACCTTTATGGACAATGATAATTCTTTGTAAATACAGAAGTAGCCTATTGCAATTTTGTATGAGTAAAATTATTCTCTTATGTGTCACAATAGGATAGCTGTAAGAAGATTTTCATTTTACAAATGACAAATGACTTGGAGCCATGAGAGGAGATACTGCCAAGTGCCAGCAAAGAGAAAAATAATGTTGTGTTTTCATAATTAAGATGCCAAGAGTAGCCTACCACTGGCTGTATTCTGAGTGACCTTTACAATGTTTTACAGTCACTTATTTTACACAGGCAAAGTTTAAATTGCTGAGCAGCAGAGATGTGTTTAAGATGAAATAGATCAAAATGAAAGGGAAGACATTGCAATGAATGAAGTGAAATCATACTTAAAAGAACCAATACATCTGATGCACGCCTAGCCAACGCTTTCTCAGACTGGACAGATCTGAGCCTAAACTGATGTGCAAGATGCAGAGCTATGAAAGAAGCCCCAAGAGATGCTGTGACTCACAGAAACACCTGCGAATCACAGTTCCCACTCTGCTTTCTCTTAGTTGTGCAAGAACTGAGAGATGTTCTCAATCTGCTGCTGGAACAAGCCAGGCTGAGAGCACGATGTGCTGCTCTAGGGCTCAGCTGCTGTGGTCCCCAGGAAGAAGGCTGATACCTGGCTCCAACCCACCGCTGCTCACGGGCTGCAGTCGGGCAGGAAAAGCAGCAAAGCGTGCGAATATTCCCACCAGTGTTCCAGTCCCGAGCAGTGAACGCACACGGGAAACGCAGAGCAGGAATTCGCGCTTCTGCCAAGCCGTGCATTCACGGCAAGTGTCGTTCGCAGGACACTGGACTTGATTTTCATCATTATAAACAGCAGGCACAAGAGAAACCAGACATGCAGCTCTACACCTAATTCACACACAACAGTTTTTCAATGTATCTCTGAAATGACTGGTAGATTTTCACCTGATTTTATTTTTCTTTTGACACAAGGACGTCATACAGATATTTTACTGAAACAAGCATTTTTTGAAACAGAAAATTTGTCCAGGAAATTAAGGTTATGGTCAGGGATAAGTCAGACAACATTACAAACTTATTACTATTTAGTAATAATTACATCAAAGTCAGGATCTCCCCTACAGACAAGAAAATATGTTTCCTGCTTTCAAGTGTAGCCTGGAATGCTTTACTGATCTATCCAATAAACTGCATAAAATCTTAATATGAGCCACTCAACTGTTTTATTTTCTTGTATCTTTATTACAACTCCTGCTAGAAACTTAATAAAAAACATTAACATAATGTAATTTTATAGAGTCATCTTGAAAATGACAGAAACCTCATATGTACTGTTGAATTTAAAAATTTCTGCAGTTTCACAACTCCAGTGGAAAGACTGCATCAAAAGTAACCACTGAGAAAGCCATGCTGCTGTCAGATTGGGATGCATTAATACTGGGTAGAAGAAGCCAAAACAGGTCAAACCTTGCTTTGAAATTTGCCACGTGCATCTTTTGTACATGTGAATGTATACACAACAAATATATATAGAAAAAAACTACTTTCAATTTACAAATCTATACTAGCATCATCTAACTTCAGTTTGGAGATCCACCATGAAAACTATGTATGTGTACTTTTAACAGCATTCAGACATTTCCACTACTCCATATACTTGACTTCAGAATGGATTGTTCCCATCTAAATACAGAACAAAGTTATCCCTCTCCGCCACTGCCTGTAGAGTCCAGACAGGTTCCTCCACTGGAAAACTGAGATCTTTCTTAAGTACCAATAACCTGCACTTGTTCACCATAAAGGGCTCTTAAGCAAAACAGACTTCGAGCTTAATAGGGTCAGAAATCAATAAACTTTGTGTAAGAAATTCTGAGATGAACTTTGCAAGACCTCAAGTAAGTGGTTCAGACCTTGAAAGAAAAGAAATAATGCATTTCTTCCAATAAAATGGCCACTACCTTTAACATGAAAAGAACCAGTAACTAAGAATTCTAATATGGAAGAGTAAGAATTCTTTGTAAAGAGAAGAACCTTGATTACAAAGTTAGAAAAAGGTTGGCTTTATCATAATGCATCGCCTACAGGCACTTCCATTGCAAGAGTTAGTAAGTTCATCACAAATAAATTTCCACAGAAATCTTCTTCAGAGCCTTTTTCAGAGAATAGCTGGATTAAAAAAAGAGCCAATTTGTGTCTGCATGGTATAGAGAGTCCCTAATCTGGTCTTTCTTGTATTTCCAGTGCTTGATAATGCCATGTTATGTTAACCATAATTTTTATGTAATCCCTAAATAAAGTTAATGAAAATAAATCAGTGCCTACAAAGCTGACTCTGACCCTTGATTAGTGGCTTGGATGAGGAACAGATTTTTTTCCTTCCCTTGAAATTTTTTTCTCCACTCTTCCATTGAGCTCTGAGAAAAAGGAACCTATGACAGTATTGCCAGGTAGATATTCTTCCTCAGACATTTGCTGGTAGTCAAGAGTTCAAAACACCCCACAATAACGTGCAGAGCCTAGATTGCTCCCCTTGTTAAAAGTCTGCTGGGATAAAATAAACTTGATTTCATATACAGGAGTAAATATCACAAAATAAGAGCGAAAGATGTTTTTTGTGCATCACAAGAGAAAGCATTTTAGTACGTGACTTTAAGCCTATGAGAGGCAAAGCTAGTGTAAGTTTGGAATTTCCAGTCCTGACGTTTTGGTGTCTTAGACACGGGACTTAACAACTTTATCTACTTGGGAAAGTCGGCATAAACTGTCCAGAACTGCAGACCTGTATTGTCAGGTGCACAAGCTGCCACTGTCTTGTCTTCCAAAGTTTAAGTGCAGAGAAGAACATAAAAAGCTCACTGACCACCTTCTCTATCCTTCTGCTCCTTAATTGCTGTTTGCGGCCTCAAATTAACAAGGACTTACTCTGTTTAATGGAGCCACACAGGATCACCTGCTCTTCCAATTAGCAGCAATTTTGCGAAGTTTCTACACTGCCAAAACATTACATACTGCAGAATCACTGTCTCAGACTTTCCTTTGCTTCCTCTTCTGCAGCTCAAGATCCAGGCAAAGCCAGACCATTTACCAGGACTCAGAATTCAGGTTCTACATGCTGGAACTAAACGCCCTTCAAGCCCTCATTTCATAGCCAGTTTCCTGACTGTGTGACAGGTTCTGATATTTTCCATTTTCCACTGAACATATTGCATTATGTTCAAATTTAGGAATGGATTGGACTAATTGGCATCTGATGCATTGGAGTGCATTTGCCTCCCTATCCAGGTAACGCCTGTTTTTCTTTAGATACCCTTAGTTTAGGAGATGTCAATTTTCATTTGTGCACTTTTTCAGCTACTTATGTATTCACTTAAATAGTCACAGGGGACATCTTTTGCAGTTATCCCTTTTAATACCTAATAAAAAGCTTCTTCTAGTGCAGCTTTTGAATAGTCTTCCACAGGTCTGTCTGGAAAGCATTCACAGACACTTTCACACTTTCTAGGGCAAGTGTTGAGGAAAGAACTGCTGGCATTTTATTAACATGAAAAATTCTCTCACACTGTTTCACGCAGCTGCCTTACTGACAATGTAGCGGCAAATTCTGAATCTGGATCAGTTTCATGCAGTCTTAAATTGTTTCAAACTGCAAGTTACAATTCCTAAATATACTTGATTTACTGAGGGAGCCTTTGCTTCTCGTACAGCTGAGTGATCAAAGCCAGTTTTTTATTGCATTACTGTATGTATTCTCCCTGCTGCTCTGGAATGAAATGGGATGTAGAGTTGATTAAAAGTTATCAACTCAAACTGCCCTCAAAATATTGATTAAATAAACATAGTATCTAGTAGGTGCTTTCCCCTTGTTTTTTTAAACTTGCATTTATTCCAAAATTCTGTTTCAAAATTGCAAATATTTCACTATTATTATAAGTGATAATATAAAGTGATTATGGGCTCTTCCGTAAGATGAGTAGCAGTGAGGGAGACTTAGCACCTGAGAGCTATTGCACTGCTCCTAGTGTTATCAATAGCACAATAAAAATCCCAGACTTGCACCTGGTGTAATATTTATTGGTTAGCAGTCTGACCCTTTATTCCTCCTGTTCCAACCTACTCATGATGATACACTTGGTGTGGTGACATTCAATAAAGATAAGAACTTCAGGTATATTACTGCATATTAAGATTAATTTTGAAATTATCACTGACATTGCAAAGTCTCATACTGAACAGCTGTTATTGATTTAATATGCTTGATTTTTCTGAGAACAGATGAAAAGAATCTTCTGTTCAGTACATTTTTTTACAAAAACACATTTTTAAAGCAGTTATTTCATTTTCTAAATTCCACCTTTATTCAAAAGAGCACACTCCTCTCTCAAGAATTAAGAGAGTGTATAATAGAAAAACCACTGAAACTTCAAATCTGAGAACTATCATGTAATCCAAATTACCTGGATCACGAATTTAACACAATTATGACATTCCCTACTTTGTAATACTTAAATACTTTAAAAGGATAAAGAAAGAAGATTCTCTCATCTCAGCAGCTGGATAATTATTATGGATTCAAAATCTGTCCCTTCAACGTGGCTTTCTAAAAGTACAACAACCCCTAGTGTACAATTATGCATACAAAGTGAAGAGGTGATAGATGAAGACTCTTCTGTTCACTTTATGAAGTCACTGATGGGTACTCAGGGATCCAAACTGCAAACTTTCAAAGCAGAAAGAGCTCTATTTCCAGCATACCTTCAAATAGTGCTAGATAACAACTAGAGGCTGGATTCAACTGCCCAACTAATTCCTTAGGACAAATGGATTGCATAAGGTGATTAGAGAAGACAGGGGTTGTACTCCCTCCATGGCAAGTCTTATCAAGTCAAAACACAGACTACTGAAGGTGTAAGAGGAGCAGGTGTGGCTCATTCCCTCTCGGCTGCCCATGCTGCAACACGGGCAAAGGGTGAAAGGGTTCACAGCTCACGAAAGCATCGTGCCTCCCAACCAAGAGGTCTATAAAACCGCTCAGCTGAACGATCTTAGTTCCTCCTAGAAAAGCCCCGGTGCCAAAAGGGACTTCTGTCCCCCAAAAGGGACAAAAGACCTATGTAAATTCTCATGACCAAGCTTGCCGCAGCTGAGCACAAGTGACCAAGTGGTACCCACAGGAGAGGGTTTTCTGTGCCTCCCCTCCATTCCTCGACCAGCCCACTGAACATTTATCTATTGCATTTACTTCTTTATCCCTGCGACAGCACCTGTTTCCAGGTGATTTTCAGAGCTTGGCCACCTCCATTCTGCCCCATTCCCAGCCTGGAACGCTGAGAGGGGTGGGATTGAGGCACAGAGAGGGTACCATCTGCGACCACATCTGACCAGAACACCACCCTCCGACAGGGTTTTGTCGTGAGCTGAAGTCCACGGGTGTCTCCCAGCCAAGAAGGGACGCGTCTCCCGGCGGCAGGGACGGGCAAGGAGCACCGAGGAGTGAGCGCCACAGCGCCGCGCCCGCTCCCGAATCCATCCCCGGTCTCTCCTTACCTTGTAGACGTTGATGGGGATGTCGATGATGATGTGGAGCAGGTCGCCCAAGGCCAAGCTGGCGATGAGAATGTTGGGGCCGTTCCTCATGCACTTGTTCTTGTAGATGATGCGCAGCAGCGTGGAGTTGCCGATGATGCCCAGGACGAAGACCAGGCAGGACACGACCGTGTTGATGTACTTGAAAGTCTCCTTGATCTCCGTCTGCCCCGTGCACATGGGGGGCGAGGCGGAGCGCGGCCGCCCTCCAGCCGGCCCCGCGCCCTTGGGCAGCGCGGCCGGGCGGGACGCGTTGTGCTCGGCGCCGCGCAGCGCGGGGGTCGCGGCCGTCGGGGGCGCGGCGGCCGCGCTCTGCCTGCCCGGGCCCGGCCGGAGCAGCGAGCCGTCGTCCTCGGCGGCGGCAGCGCGGCAGCTGAAGAGCAGCAGGAGGAGGAGGAGGGCGGGCATGGCTGTGCGGCACGGCAGATTGCCGCCGTCAGCGCCGACCTGCGCGGAGAGAGGGGACAGCGCGTCAGCCAGGGGGACACCGCGCCCCGCCGCTCGCTGCCCCGGGGCCGGGGCGCTCCTGTCCCCGGGCGGTGCTGGAGCTGCGGGCGGCTCGGCCGGCAGAGCAGCGCCGCGGCCAGCAGCCTCTCTGGCCGGACCTGCTCGGTGCCGCCCCGCTCGTCTCCCCCTCACCTCGGCGAGCGGAGCCGAGCCGATCCTCCCCGCCCGCCGGCCAGGCAAGGCGAGAGCGCTCCGCTGGCTGTCGCCGCGCTCCGCTCCCCGGCTGCGTGTCCCCGCCCGGGCCCGGCTGCCGCCGCTCGCCAGCGATGGGCGCTCCGCTCGGGAAGGCGGCAGGGACGGGCGCTGGCGGCAGAGCCCGGTGTCCGTCAGCCGCTCTCCAGACCCCGTGGCCAAAGTCGCGCCGGCGGTGCAGGGCCCCCCCTTTTCTAAAACATTCAACCGCATCTGGCCCATCAGTCACAGCCAGACCCCACCCGCGTCCTCCGCCCCCAGCGCAGCCCGGCCCAGCCCCCCCGCCCGCCGGCCCTGCGGAGCCTCCCATCCCCGCTGTCAGGAGTGCCCCCCGGCCGAAGGGCTCCCAGCCTCGGTACCGACCGGGCAAAGTGCCCTGCGACCTCTCCCTTGTCTTGTACCAGGCTGACTTGGCGGGCTTTGAAACAATTTTTCAGGAGGGTTGTTACAAGAGGTATGGGCGTTGCTGGAGGACAATTGGGAAGAAGAGGACACTTCCCCGCTGTCCTGTCCGAAGCTCACTCCCAGTAGCTGGGTACGGGGTTCTCCCTGCTGCAGAAACCCCCTTGCACAGCCCGAGGGGCGCACACGCTGAAGAAGCTGCCTGCACAATGTCTGCGAGTTTAGTGCCACGTTTTAAAGCGCTTCACAAACCCTTTCTTACATCAGAAATAGTATTTTGGCTGCTCGGAAGTTGCAGTTCGGTTATCTGGTTGGTTGCCGCTTTGGGCAGCCTTAGCAAAGCGTCTGATCTCAGCGAACTCGTTCCACTCGTTGCACCCTTCAGTGAAGCGTAAGGAAAGGAGGAAAGAGATTTGTACAGGATTTTGTGGAGACTAAGAACAGTCTCTGCAGGCTGGAGACAACTGCATGTCTAACAAAAGCTAGTTGAATTTAAAACTGTTTGTCAGCATCTCTGCGTACATCTCCCTGATATTCTGTTTTCTTAAATCATTCTGGATGCTAAGTCTTGAATATATACATGCTTTGTTACAGAAGCAACCTGCTCACCTGCATTATTGACAAACCCATATGGGAAAACACTGGAAACCACATGCTTTTTTTCAAAAATTGGTGATCTCATTTATCTAATCTTTCCAGCATCTCCTGCTAACATACCCTTGCGCTACTGGAGCAGACAGCCTTTTCTTGTCCTCATTTAGCTTCCTTTTCACATCTCCATCTTTGTTTCAAAGACTTCTCTATTAATAACCTTTCCCATTCAATCATTCTTGATCAGTTTCCTCATTTATGTCACAGTGATTTTTTCCGCATTTTAAATTACAGTATTTGTGGAATAAAGCCATCAAAGTCACTTCTAAACTGTACAAGGGTACCTGGAGGCTGATTGCACTCCAGCTGGAAGACTGATCTTTCTAAGTTCACACTTTTCCAGACTGTGTTGTGCAACATGATTCATTTTTAAATCAGCCATGGCTGGTTCCTCTCCCAAACATAAAAGCATGAACATTGAATTCAATATTATATTCTGAGCCCTGGGGATTTAAACACTCTTTTCAGTTTTCAGGTCTGCATTTCCTCAATTTCCAATTCCACAATCCATAAGTGAACAATGTTTCACTAAATGCAATATTGATTCAGAAACTCTTGCCAGTTAACACAGCATTAACTTTAATCTCAAAATGCTTTTTTACTTGCAAGTTTCCAGATAAGTCTCAAAGGCTTCTATGCTAATCCAGACAATCGAGCAGTATATCGTGACTACAGTGAGATATATGTTTGCTAATATTTTTATTATCACAGCTTCATAAGATGTTTGGTATTAGTGGCATCTCCATTGCCACCACTTACTCCAGCTCCAGAAGTTTTAGTGACAGCAATTTAATTTCTGAAATGTTTGATGTTACTATATACAAACTTAGTATATACAGAACTTTGGGCAGCTGCTGATACCCGAAGCACATTAATCTTTAATATTGCACAAAATGAGTCCACATGACAAAGCATCTAAGTGGCTTCTGGCTGCAACTAGCTAAATTTGCCACCCTTTTTTGTTTCTAATATTTTTTCAGATATTGAGGAGTTAAACCCAGCATATACTCTGGATTAAGTCTGCTTTAATTAATGAAAATTAAAGGAAAACATATTTTCACATAAATTTATGTGAGGATAAAGATAATACTGTATTATATACCAAGATCATATCAGGTATCTTGGCAAATTAACTGTAATTTGAATGAAGATCAACTACCAAGGTTAATTTAGACTGCAACAAGAGAAAAGATCTGTAAATGTAATAAACTTATGCCCTTTAAGTGGCCTCTGCTAATTAAGCTATGAAAGAAATTACTTACTGATCTGTATGGAGTACATTATAGAAAATTATGTAAGCTGCTGCTAATGTGTTTGGTCTTTTTTGTTTGTTTTTTTGTTTTTTTCTGGGTAGCAGAAATACTCCTTTTCCTATGGAAAGTTGAATTTTGTACAAAGCAGGAAAAGCTGGATCCTCCAGACTGACTGTTACTCATTTTATTGTATTCTGCACTTCCACTCCATTTCATCCCAACAGATATTAGCAATTATATGAATTAGCAGTCACTGTTTTAGTTATAAGTCAGATGCAACATTTCTATCAATGACTGATAATTTTGTACTTTTTTTTTTCTAATTTAGAATACCATTTACAGAGAAACAAAGATTGGATGACTTGTAACCATTACCAGGATGATTTTTAACAACAGAAGACTTTAAAGACTATTATGTTACATGTAATGTAAATCACGAGAAGTGGTCACAATTATGGCATCAGAAAGTCCTTTAATTAATAAGCTTATGTGACACACTGCAGGACTGTATATTTTAATTCATATAAGACTTTATTGAATCAATGAGAAATTTGTTATGAGTTTGCAGGTACTTTTGCAAATCCCATTAACTTTCTGTTTATGTTGGTCAGCAGCTAAAGCAGCCTCAGAAGTCTGCCCCATCGGGCCTGCTTTTCTTTTTATTGTGTCTGGTGGAAATTTGCCCACTAACTGGGGCAAGTCTGGGATGAATAGAAAGAATAGCTGTCTCAGTGTGAGCCACTCATTAGATGCATGAGTTCAATTAAAGTCAGAAAATACTCCTCTGTGTTACAGAAGTTACTATAGAAACATTACCAATGGCAATTTTGAAAGAATAAAAGTACTTTGAGAAATTAAGATATTAAGATACTGCAGTTTTGTAACTGCATATATTCATGTACAGGACATTATCTGTCTCATTTTTTTTCTTAGTCTAAACTGACGTAAAAATGTGGAATTCTTTTTAGTATGATGTGTAGCTATGCTTTGTCTTTTTCTACAAAGCTAAGCAACTTCCATAAATAATAGTGTTGGCTGTCAATTGCAGTGTATTGACATAATACTTAAGTCTTGAAACAATGAAACAAAATTTATCATAAAAAGTTACAATAAAACCTTATCAGTAGATAGCACCAATGAAACATGAAGTTTGGATGCAGATACCTGTTTTAATGTAGATTACATTGTATATGATTGCAAGATCAAAACAGTGAAAGACAATCAAATTTGTACTCAGAAGAAAACATCTGTTTTCAGACATTTTCATAGTCTTTTTAATAAGAGTTTGGGGATTTTTTAAATGGTATTAAGTTCAAGCCTTTAAGTCAGACTGGTTGATAACTGAAATTTTTCTTCCCATCTAACTCTAAAATTAAAACCAATATGCCACTTATTAAATTTATTCCCCTCATTCTTCCTATTCAGCAGCAGGAAAGGAAATCACAAGGTAAATTACAGTTCTGAAACTGATACAGCAGCATGTAATTAAACTGATGTGTAAAACACACTGAATCATTGTCTATTAAGGGAAAAGTTACTAAAATGGGTTTGGGGAAGTGGCTACAGGTTTGAAAAGAAAGCATTTCTGAATTTTTTGGAAATTATTAAAAACTTTTTTTCTTGCTTGTTTGATTTTTTTTCCCCCCTATGATACTTCAATAGAATAAAGGTGGACAAGTTTACTTTTTAATTCTAGCTGTAATATAATTTGGATCAGAATTGCCCAGGAAGCCTAGGTAAGATTAGTTGTTTAAAAAAAGTACGTTTCAGCTGCTGTGTAATGTATGTATGCATTTATACAAGGGAGGTGAAAACTGGCCATACATTGTTTATGCTGTACACAGAGATTACTCCAGGCAGGCTTTTCAAGTCTGGATTAAATTAATTTCCAGACAAAATGCCTGACTTCAGCAAGAAGTGCTGTTATTCACGCATCCATGCTTTTCTGCAAGCGTGGCCATGTAATACAAATGCTGTGTTCATCTGGATAGACAAAATCTACCACCACATTCTGGCTTTAGAATGTACTCATAAGCTGCACACCAATAAAATAATTCAGTTAGGAATCCTCAGAACAAGGAAATCCATGCTGTGAATTAAAAGACTGATTTCATGTGCCAGAGAGCTGGCTGTCCACAGGCTTCTTGTTTACTTCATGCTTGGCTCTGCACAGGATGGTTCCACCTAGCTACAAAATCAAATCTATTGCTGTCAGCCAGGCCTAAGTGATGATGAAAGCTGGTTCTTGCCAAAAGGCACTGGGGCTCCTTCCAGGCAGTAACTTGCACTTTCTAACAACTAAAATAGTCCCTGGCATCCTCTGTTTTCATTGGAGAGGGAGACACTTCCATTTCTAAGGTGAGGGCTCTTCCCTTGAGGGGACTTAATGATCTTAAGGGTCTTTTCCAACCTGAGTGATTCCATGACTCTGCAACTTTTACCAAACTGCACTGACAGACTCAGGGAAATAAGCAAGAGATAATGTTTGGATGCCATATATCCAAGAGGTAGAAGTAATGTTTATATGGTTGACTGGAAGCTACTCAAATGCTCAGAGATCTTGAAAAGTCTTTCTACAATTTCTGTCATGACCTTGGGCTCTAAGATTTTCTCTTACAGGACATAAAAAGATCTCATGTGTGTAAGTAGGTCCTTACTGATCAGACTTTTGAAGAAGCTCTTCACTTTTATTTCAAACAAATGCTGGATTGAGAATGAAAATAGTGCTTGGACATTTTCTCAGTTTTGGGTGCTGGCCATGGAAATATCTTTGTAGCTCATCAGCTCTCAATTCAGAGAGCATCAGAGCACTGTCTTCTGCAGGTCAGCAAAGACTGACACTGGCTATTATCTTTTGGAAGCTCCTAATGCTGCTGGTTCTACTGGAAACCACATTTTTGGCAGGAGGTGTTTGGGAGGCCCA